AGTATATTTGGGTAATCCCTCAAGGTTTCGAGGATAATCGTAACAATATGTATGTACTGCGCATTTGGCCATATGTTAAAGTTAGGTACCTAACCACCCTGTAGTTTATGCCATGTGAGCTGTTTATTTCCCTCCTGACACCCAGTACTTAATTCGAATTTAGTCCAGACAACTACCTTTCCGTCTTCTTTTTCGAACATTAGCCTAGTGGACAACCCAAAATAACAGCTGCATACATATGGATATGTACACGTGTACATAAATTACCGCGTGCGATATAGGAAAAGAAAATATACAACGGTAACGGAAACTACTTCTAAAATACGAAAAAGTTTATAGAATTGTTTTAAAATGAAAAATTTAAATCAACTTTGGTTTTAATTCAATATGAATATTGCGTCTTGCATTGAACACTAAATTCCTATAAAATTATAGTCTCGTACTTTCTTCATACATTGCTCACTTAAACCAAGAAGATGAGTGGAGCGCCGGTACAAAATAAGACATACATATGTGTAGTCTGTTTGAATAGATCTCCAGTAAAAAATATCCAGCAGCAACTTGAAGGAGAGTAACAAACAATTATCTCTAAAACTGGAAAATATCCAAAAAAATAACGTACCAACGCCACCTATCGCAGATGAAGAACTTGAGTTGCTTCGCGAGGCTGGCAATACTTTCACAGAACTCCATTACCGACATTGCAGCAGGTTAAACTGTTCAATCCAATTTGAATAAGATGCCCCGACGACACTAACCTCTTCATATGCGTACTCACATTAGCTCATCTAACATCCCTCTCCCTACAACAGCCCAAAACCGTTGGATCTGCCCTTTTCCGGAGCCTGCCATTAGATTACAACGAAGAGAACATACTAAGTCCTATTCACTGATTTAGGCAGAGTTTAGTAAGCTCCTCCAACAAAAAAAAAAAACAGAAGAATATTTTCGTTCGGATTTCCTCTTATTTTTGAAGTAATTTTCGCTATAGAAAATTTTTCCGGCATTCAGATACCGTCCGCCGAGATAGAGCGATCTTCCACTCAGCCGTCGATATAAAATTAATAAACGTTTTATAGTTCCACTTTTAATTAAATAAATATTTTTAATTTTCATATGCCATAAAATGAAAATGTGTAAATAAACTAGGCGAACACTCGGTTTATTTGATTTTAAAAATCCGGTTTACTCAGTAATCCAAAAATCAAAGTTTCAAAAAAAAAAACTGCGCAAAAATATCCAAAAACCCCGGTTTGAAAAACCGAGTCAATGAGCCTAATATATACACATACGATATTCATACATACATATGTACATTAGGGTGGTCGTTAAAGGTATGAAGCAAATTTTTACATCAAATTTTCTAAGCCTCAACCCCTACGTCGATGCTACCTTAGTCGAAAATATCACATATAAATTTTGGTCCCGATTGGAGACGGTTGAGGCGTGTGGCACAGGGGGCAAAGTTCAGACGCCATGATACCCAAAATCGATACTACCATAGTCGAAGATATCACATATAAGTTTTGGTTCGGATTGAAGTCCGTTAAGGCGTGTCGCACGGGGGTTAAAGTTCAGATTACCCTACGAAGACGTCTTAACCGACTCCAATCGGAACTAAAATTAATATGTGCAACGGCTTGCGAACCAGTCCTAAGGCAGCCCTAGAAACAATTCGAAACCTTTGTCCGATATATGTACCCAGTTGCGACGAAGTCGGCTAAAGGTAAAAGGACAGTGACTGTTAACATAATGGTCATTTGGGCACAGTTGTTTACAGTTATAAAACAGATTATTTCGATCCTCATAACCAGTTTAGAAAGGGGCCACACGTCTTAATAGAGCCATTTGGCCCACAATCTCAACCTGAGCCAGATTGAACCCTGAACGGGGTTTAATACGCACACTTAGCTCTCTTTTCATAAAGGCAGGCGGCCAGCAGAGCTCGCCACGCAGTGCTTTGAGACTCTTCAGCTCTTGGCAGCAAGAAACGCGGTAACACTATATTGGGTAGAAGGGCACCATTATCTGTCTTTGTGTGAGTAAACTCAGGACGCTATAAGTACTTGGGGCGGTCGGGGGGCGTTAGGCAGGCTAAGCTTTTTGTTTAGATATCTTTTTGTTCCGATACTTTAGTTCTTCCACAGTCGAACGCCACCCCTTAGTATCAGGAATTCGTCTACCAAGAAATCCTTAGCATTTATGAAGGAGGCTTAGCATTTATTTATAAAGGAACTTACCAAGGAGATATGTATATATGTGCATAAAAGATCTTCTAGGTGATGGTGTCCCTTGTTTCTGTGGTACCAATTCAATCAATTAGGTAACTGCAAATACTGACAAGTTTTTACAAATTATTATTATAATTTTTTTTTTTTTTATTTAATTTTATTTTTTTTTATGAAATTAAATAAATAAATATACTTTATTCTTTAACAAAACCGTGTAAATAAATTTTCGAACGTGTATAGTACTAAAAAAAATCAATAGAATTTGGTAAAAATTGTGTGCTTTTTAAGTGCAAGTTTCAAATGTGTAGAAATTGCAGGTAACTCTTTTGAATTTTATTTGTTGCATTTGCTTCCATAAAAAAAAACGTTACATTTTCTACAAAAAAACATGCACGTTATTATACTACACTGAGAAAAAGGATTAGTTTCGACAACTAAAGATATTTAGTTTCCGAATTTTGACAATATTTGGGAACTGTTACCAAGGATTGGGAACTATTACCATGGGTTTGTAATTATAACTAAATATATTAAAGCTTCTAATATTCATCTAGGTTGTAACAAATCGTTAATTTAGTTGAAGGGTTTGGTTAATACCAATATATATTTCTTTGAAGCATATTTCTACAAATTCCATTGAACTTGAACGTATGGTTCATAAAAGGATGTTATTAAGCTCTGCTAATGCAGATTAGCTTTCTTTCAACACATGGTTTAGTCATAGTTACTAAATCTTGGTTGAGGCAACCACGATTTGGTTTGAGAGTGGAACATATTCATGCTTGTGAGCCACCCCTAAAGAATGCTGAGCGCTCTCTGAGCACATATGTACATCACATACGAAGAGCTGAGCAACGCACACAGTCCCACTTATTGAATCGTTTGAATGCGCTAGTATGCCGACCATTGCATTGTGCGTGGAAATCATTGTTCCGCTACCGCTGTTCGTACATGGGTGAAACACGCATGTGGTCCCAGAGCTATGGTATGTCGATCGCTGCGCTAGGTAGAGAAAGAAAATAGTGTGCTATGACATGCACAGAATTGTTTGTCTCAGTTTTTCTATCACCGCGAGTTGTTTCGGTGCGCGCATAGTTATTTAAAAATATAACGTTTGATGCCAACCGAGGTTTTTCAGTGGATATATAATTCACGTGAATTATAATTTGAAAGTGTCTATTTAGCCAAGGAAAAAAGCAAAGTAGTATACTTCCAGCAGACATTGACCTGGGTTTTCGCACGACTGTTCCTGTATCATCGTTGTTTTTTAGGAAATTCTTACCACCATATACATATGTATTATTTACTTTAGTAACTAACTTATGTAAATATGTACGTATTTTTTATGCTTAATATGTATATGCAAATAAAAGACGAAAGTAAACACAACAAACATCGAGCAAATTTTTATTTGTGTCAAACTGAAACTTTTTTTCCAATAATAAACGGTTAGCTGATTCAAGTCTACAGCAAGTTCACAAAATTAATTGAAAACTTGTATCAACCAAAGCATTGTTTATATTTGCTTAACAATGACTTTATTCAACTAACAATATTGTCCAATCAAGGTAGTCGTTTTGTAATTATTAACAAATATACATTTATCCCAACTAGAAGTCTTAAGTAAATTGCAGACTTTCGTGAACTATATATTTATTTCGCCATATCCAACTATGCCACTTGATCACTATAACCAAATCTTGGTTATTATAACTAAACCTTTTTCTGGGTGTACAAAACTACATGCTTAAATCTTTCCAAGAAATCTAATTACAAAGATCGAAATTTTAACAAAAGTTTGTTGATTTTTTTTTTTTATATTGCACAATGTTCGAAACTTGGATTTACACGGCTTGTGTTAAAGAATCTACTATATTTTTATAAAAAAATAACTAAAATTATATAACAAAAACAAAAAAAATTGTGAAAACTTGTCAATATGCGGCTATAAAATTAAATTAAAAACACTCACATACATTTGGACATTTCGCTTATAGATAATGTCTTTTTCTATACAACTTTATTTACTATTTTCACAGAAGTAACAAAGTTTTCACAAACAATTAATAAATTCTTTTTCTAAATATTTCGAATATAATTATTTACAAATGTGCATTAAAACTAAATAATGAGTAAGTGAACTAGATTTTCAATTAAAACTAAGTACAAAGGAATTCATATGCTTTTGTTTGGATGAAGGTACGATGATAACTAGCCGGTGTTTTAGTGCCTCACTGAATGCTTTGTAGGCAAAAATCACAAAGTAATAACTTCATTTTTTTTCATAGATATGCCCACGCGTTGTGCATAAACGAAAAAATGTATATTACTATAAAATTTAGTTAAAATTTAACGATCTACGTTAATGTGGGCAGACTGCAACCGTTATTCACACGATATTCCGCATATACAATACCTGCGAAAAAAATTAAAATAACAATTTTTGGTTTATTTTTTAATGTTTTTATCAAATACCAACCAGTATTGTGCCAGTGATAGAAAGCAGCCAAAATGAATAGATGCCACCAATTGTGCGAATGTCCAACATAGTCCACTTTACCGGTAAGCCAACGTTCGGGTATCTTCGCAGCATAGATGACGAAGGCGAGAGCACACCAGCCGTACATGATAATTATGCGTGGCACCATTAGCTATGGAATGTATATACATATGTATGTATAACTGTAAGTATTTTCGATTTAATAAAATTTTTAGCGAACTTACCCGCACCAACTCGTTGTCGAATCCACCCATCACATAAGTCCAGTGCGCCAACGGTATTATGCCGTAGGCGGCCCACAGTACCAGCACTCCAATCTTCGCATCCAATGAGACATTCAGCTTGGGAATTTGCACTAGCATCGCCAAGCCAAACATGCATAAAGCAATCACAGAATAAATAATGCGGAGGGTCTGAAATTTGAATGTATGAAACAAATAACGATTTTAAAAGACGTCATTTAAGGGTGTCTTTTAATTTGAATAAAAAACTTAAATAAAATTATATCCGACTGATAAAGAAATCTGTAAACAAGATCACAGTAATACTAACCCAGTAGGAATTAGGAGCACGTAATAATACCTTATTAGCAACTTACTCTTCACCTGGCAGTCATTACCAATTCCCTGCCGAACGTCCCTTACTTTTACAAAGGCATGGCCGCCTTATGTAAGTAGGAATTTAGAATGTACATTTGGTATCAGACATACTTCTGAGCCGCTTTACAAAGTAAGTTACGTGTAATGCAGAGAAGTCGCTCGGAGTAGTTCGGCGCTTGGAGATAACTTCGGCTGCACGTTACTTTGCAACTGACAACGTAATGTGTCGTTGGAGGTGTTCATTTTGTGCTTTACTAGTAGATGACATTGGCCATGATGACAATTTTGGTACTAAAAACTGAAAGAAAACATGGCATACCTCGTAAGGTGCTTACCTATTTTCCCAGTGGGTAAATAAATACTACGTAATAGAAAATTTGTTTCTAAGGAAAAATTTGTTTTCAATGTTGTTGATAGCACAATTGATTTTTTACTTCTCACCACAAAAACTTTTTAAAAGGTTAGAATAGAGTGGATAGATAGGCTGCCTACCTCCACTCGGGTAAATGCTTCACCGTTTTTTTTTTTTGAATATCTATAAGCGTTTTTTTTTTTGAAATACTGATTTTTCGAATATCGAAAAACCCGTATTTTTTAACCGGTTTTTTCATTTCATACAAATCTTGTGCTCCCAATAAAAGTTTTGAGTTTCTTCAAACTTTTCAAGGCTTTTTCCAGTTTAAGGGAAACCCCTAAATAGTTTTAAAATTATATCCTAGATTATTTGGGGATGATTTCAATAAATGAATGGCGCTTAAACGTTTTCCACGTGTTTGGCCGAGTGTTCTCCATCCTAATATTGTGATACAAATAGAGAGATCTACACTTTTACTTCACCTCCAAAGAAGCTTTTCAATGACAGGAGTACGCTCGGTGCTTTGCGATTGTCTGAGAGGGCGTCCGTTATTTGAAAAAAAAAAACTTTTTTTTATGGTGCTGGGACCAGAAATTGAACCATAGACCTCTCGAGTGACATTCGGCATCTCTAAGCACTTGGCTATGGCGGCAAGAGCAATACTCAAATTCAAAAAATCAGGAAAAGAAATGGAATACATACAACCAAAAAAAAGCTTTGAACTTATTTTGCTTTGCTCTTT